GCCTTACCTGCACCCTAATGACTCTGAGTTTTACTTAAACTGCTGGAGAGTTTTTAGAAAGTGAGCCGGTCTGCTGTATTGAAAAAAGATGCAGGGTGGCTGTAAGGACACTCAGTAAGGGACATTCCAATAACTGAGGCAAATAATGCTAGTGGCTGTGACCAGGGCTGATGCCAGATGGGCAGTGAGAATGACGGGATCCTTAATATATTTCAAAGAGGAAGCTTTACAGTTCCAGAATAAGAGAAGATTGAAGGATGTTTATAAGATTCAGGCACCTAGAACAAATGATAAACTTTTTTCTGTAAATGGCCAGATAGTAAACATTTTAGACTTTGCGGGTCACGTAGTATCTGCTGCAACCTCTCATCTCTCCTGCAGCATGAAAGCAGCCACAGACCACACCCCACCAGTGGGTGTGGCCGTGTCCCCAGTCCAACCTCGTTACAAACCACAGATGACACCCAACCAGCGCGTGTGGCCGTGTCCCACAGTCCAACCTCATCACAGATGCAGCCACAGACGACACCCCACCAGTGGGTGTGGCCATGTCCCCAGTCCAACCTTATTACAAACCACAGATGACACCCCACCAGTGGGTGTGGCCATGTCCCACAGTCCAACCTTATTACAAACCACAGACGACACCCCGTGTCCCACAGTCCAACCTCATCACAGATGCAGCCACAGACGACACCCCATCAGTGGGTGTGGCCGTGTCCCCAGTCCAACCTCATTACAAACCACAGATGACACCCAACCAGCGCGTGTGGCCGTGTCCCACAGTCCAACCTCATCAGAGACACAGGCAGAGAGCTGGACTTGTCATAGGCGCCGTGGCCAATGCCTGACCTGGAAGGTTGGAGCTGCCCTTCACTAGAAGGGAAAAGTGCAGAGGGGGTCTGTGTGGTGAGAGGGGTGAGTTGCGTTTGAGAGGCATGAGCTGGGCAGGGATGAAGGAGCTGGGCAGGGCTGCTGAGAGTCGGTCTGATGCTCAGTCTCAATCTGAGAGGAAGCCCTGGGTCGGGGGTGTCCTGGTGTTTAAACCTGGAGGATGAGTGATGAACGAGACCACCACACACAGGAAAAGAGGCAGGGAGAGAACCAAATCTAAAAGGTCAAAGGGGAAAGGAGAAGGAGCCGGCAGAGCAGCAGACAGGAACGGCCAGGGAGGCAGGAGGAAAGCCCCGGAGGGTGACAGCCCAGCTGAGAGAGGCAAGTGTGTGGAGGAAGGGAGACTGACCAGCCGCTAACTGCTGCTGAGGGGTCATGGGAAGGAATACTGACACTTGACCCTGGACCCAGGGACCCATGTCCCTGCTGACTGCGTAAGGGACAGCTGGGGTGACAGGTGTCAGCCTGATTAGAGTGGGCTCAAGAGACGACAGAGGGAGATACATCAGATTTGTGAATATAGACAACTTTTCAGAGGCCTTTTGAAGTACAAGGAAGGGAAAAATGAGTGCTCAGGGAGAGATAGAGCCGAGAAAGGAGTTTGTTTGAAGATGGAAGAATTCCAACTTGTTTTTAGGCTGATTGGAGAGATATACAGAAAAGGGTTGATTGCTTGTGAGATGTCCCAGCACACAGTGGGGCCGCTGGCTGTGGCTGGGAGCTGAAAGCATTCCTTCCCCCGATAGGTGTGCAGGTGCGGGGATCCGGTGGTGGCAGCCTGTGGGAGCCCTCTTCTGATTTCTTCTGTTGCTCCAGTATAACAGGACACGAACTCATCAGTCAAAGGTGACGACAGGGAAGACACAGCAAGTTTGAGGGAAGGGGCAAGATAGTTCAGATGAGTGAGAGTGGATGGATCAGGGAATCTTTGCACTTTGCTTAGAAGCTCTAGGGGCCAATTTGAGATCAGTGGTAATGAATTTTAAAGTTTTCTGGTCTTCCTGGAAATTTGTCTACCCTTTTTTGCCTACATTTTTAAGACTGTTGCCCAGGCTAGAGTGCCGTGGTCTTAGCCTAGCTCACAGCAACCTCCAACTCCTAGGCTCAAGTGATCCTCCTGCCTCAGCCTCCCAAGTAGCTGGGACTACAGGCGCCTGCTGTGATACCTGGCTAATTTTTATATTCTTTGTACAGATGGATTTCACTTTGCTCAGGCTTGTCTCGAACTCCTAACCTCAAGTGATCCTCCTGCTTCAGCCTCTCACAGTGACAGGATTACAGGTATGAGTCACCATAACCAGCTTTGGTTAATTCTTAATGATCCCTTAGATTTCAACGCGAGCCCCACTTCCTCGAGGAAGCTTGTCTTCCTTCTCTAACTTTCCCGCCCAGGTTAGACCCTGTTCATCTGTCCCTACTGCACTTTCACTTTGCTCTCACAGTGCTTATCACGGTTTAAAATTTAAGGTAAGCGTGGGACTGGGGTCTGCCCGCCCCACCCCCACCCCCTGCCACAGTTCCTTGGTCTGTATCTGTTTACCTGCCATTGTATGACCACTGCCAGCCGAGCTCCTGACAAATACATCTGCCCAAGAACCCCAAGAACAAGCGGCCACTGCTGCAATGCTTTCTTCTTCCAACAGGGCCCAACCTACTGTCCCCTACTTTCTGCTGAAGGTGCCCAGCAGGTGAATCTGGAAGGGTTAAGGTGTAGGAAGAATCTGGAGCTCACACAGGCCCAGGCTGGTCCTGCTTCCACAGCTTTGACATAACCATTAGCTGCGTAATGAACTTATTCACCTGATTCAGGGACACAGATTTTCTTGGTTAATACCAATATAACCAGAATCCACTGTAGTGCCTGGCATATGCCAAGACACTCAATATTGATTCAAGGAATGAATAACAGGCCTGGTAATATTTTATTACTTGTAAGGTCATAATGTATGGCGGACCTCATACATATAGTCACAATACGAGACACATTACCCCTGTGGAGTGCTGTACCCCCATAGCAGTGGCCTGGAGATGGTGCTGGGGTCTTCCTCATTCTTCTTGCCATTTTCCAACCATTATTCCCTCTCCTCTTAAAGTAAGCTAGTGTAGACCCTGGAGAAACTCTTCTTACACATGTGTGCTGTGTCAGATATGTGTGTATATATCTTACATATAAATGCACACATTCTTAGTGATAGAGAGAATCTGGAATAACCAGCCAAATAGTCATCAAATACATCATCAAATATTCCTAGGCTGAGTGTCTTAACACAGTGAACAACACAGTGAACCAGCAAATGAGTTTAAAAAAGAAAAGCAGGCTCGGCGCCTGTGGCTTAGGTGGCTAAGGCGCCAGCCACATATACCTAAGGTG